GTCCGTCCGTCCACCTACCTTTCTATTTTGATTCAAGAGTTAGCAAACATATCTAACACTTGAAGAGATATTGCTAGGAGAATTGGAATATCCTTCATAAGGGCAGTTCCTACCTACCTACCACTAAAACCTTATGTTTTGTTATGCATGAGGAATGCATATGACACAACCTTCAGTCATGCCTAGCTGGAAATTAATGAACTGATGTTGGAATTCTTGGTGGTGCACATGCCATTCCTGATTTTATTTTAGGAGTGGTTTTACCAGTTCCACAACCCCCATGAGCTTCCATGGCTGAGTGGGGATTCAAAGCCAGGCCTCCTGAATCCAAGTCTGTCACTCTATCCGGTATGCCACACTGGGTATCCTGTACTCATCGTATAGAATATAGGATATATTCTTATATAAAATACTCTTATGCAGCATGAAACACATGTAAAGACACCTATGCCCAAGAAATGGTTATAGTCAGTTGATTAAAGCTTCCCAGGGTCCACCATTCACAGTAGAAAAGGCAATCTTAAAGTGTGATACTCCATCAATTATAAGTAATTAATATTGTTAAAAGACTCCTATCCTGCCGATTAAACATACTCATTCCTCAACTGGCTAACAAAACAGTATCACTATACAATGAGAGCCTGGAGTGCTACCACTAGCCTGTACAGCAGCAATGCTCTCCCTTTGTCTAAGACAGTTCCTTATGCTCTACAGGCAAGGCCTCACAACTGAAAAGGGTGTGTTGTATATCAGGTGTTCTCTGTGCCATTAAGTCAGAATTGACTTCTAGTGACCCTAAGAAGGTTTTTGAGGTGAATGAGATATTTAAGGAGTAGTTTTATTAGTTGCAGCCCTTCTCTATAAGTTTCCATGGCCAAGCAGGGATTGGACCCCTGATCTCCTGATATCGGGTACACTGTTCCTTGTCACCACCTCTTTTTTCTTCACAAACTAGATATACTTTAAGCAGGTCTAAGGTGATTTTAGTGTCCAGTAGGTCCATATGGGATTGAAATAGAAGGTGGTCCTTCAGATCTTCAGTCAATAAGATCTTTAATGGCGAAGACCCACAATTGGATTTGTCCTAGAAACAGATTGTTCTAATGCTTGATCCAATTAGTTCCTCATCTTTGTTTATTTCAGAGTTTTATGGTTTCTCCATAGGAAGGAAATATACTGCAATTAAAAACCCCTATTTATGATCAGTAAAATCTGGTAGTAAGTACTAGCGATTTATTTCCTTTCCAGCATCCTCTTTGTTTCTGAGCAAGACGTTAAAGAAGCCTTTCTCCAGTATGCAGCCAGTAAATGCTGCTATCGGAGAGCTGTTGCGAAGCAAATGGAAATCCGGAATCTCACTCCTCTCAACACATACAGAGTAGGTACCATACCTCTATAAAGTGAACTGACTTTTCCTGAAATTCATACTGGATCACATACATCTTGGTCCAGAAGTTCAGTGCAAATGCTCTCTCATGCTTTTCTCATGAACCCTCTCTTAATCAAGTTATGAAATAACCAACTTTCCTATCATCGTGCTGTATTGAACTTCTGTTTTTCAGTTTGTGCTGAAAATTAAGCCATTCATGTAGCTATGCAAGAGGATTTTGCACTCTGCTTTGGGCCAAGCTGTACTTTACAGATACCCTGTCATTTGGAGAAGGAATCCCTTAAAGGGCTAGCTTTTCATGACCGTCACACCAGGAATTTCCCTGCCTCCCAGGCTGGCTTGCAAATTAGCTTGTTTTGTTTTATGGCTTTTTCTAAAGACTTTATCTTCAAGCCTGTTCTCTCTAATGCAAAGACTTGTTTTGTTTTATGGCTTTTTCTAAAGACATAAGCATATCCTTTATCTTCAAGCCTGTTCTCTCTAACGCAAAGAGCTACTGAATCATGTTTCTGGAACATGAACATTATTTCACCTAAACTTTAATAGTCCCCAAATACATTCTTCTGTATTGTTTCACATCATTCAGGCTCAGGCTTAGTGCTGAAAGCAGATTCTGGCACTTAACAATTATCCAGTTTACATCGTGGTAACCAAGAACCAATAGCTAAGGTTGGGTATGCTGTCAATTTTTTTTTTGTCAGGATATATCTATTATTATGAAATAGGCTGCCTTGGTTATGGCAACTGGTGGCCAGATACAGATTCTAAAGGACTTTAGTGTTATTTCATGGTTGGAAAGCTTTCTTTTATCCTGATTCTTTAAATTTGCCCCCTGACACTACTTAAAAGAAACAACCAAGTGGCTTGTAACACCCTCAATTATGACAGAAAAGAATGAAAAGTGAGCAGGACTCAAATCAGCCAGGAAGGCTGGCTTCACAGTGCTGCATTCTAGTGATCTGATAGAAGACTAATAAATAGTTTTGTCAGTGGCTTGTATTTGTAAATAAAGAAAGCAAGATGAGATTAGCCCCAAAAGCAGTTTCCGGCTCTTATAAAAATTGCATTTTTATTTATTTATTGTGCTTGATGTGTAGCATTCTGATGCTCCCCTTGACCTTTTTTAAAATCCTTTGGGAACTGAGGAATATAATACTTAAGAACATAATACCTCTTAGGATATCAGAGTTAAGCCATCTGTTTGTTTAAAAATGTCACCATCACTGACATGGGCTTTGTTAAAAGGAAGGAAGAATGGAGTCTATATAGTCAAAATTTGCCACAGGATATCTACAGGGTTGTTGTTGTTTTTTTCCTTCGTTGGTGTTTTTAAGTAAGGAGATTATTTGGTTGTTGTAGGTATTTTGGGCTGGCGGTGTTCTTGAGGTTTTTCTTCCTAACGTTTTGTCAGTCTCTGTGGCCAGCATCTTCAGAGGATAGGAGTCAGAACTCTTTCTGTGCTCTGGTGCAGTTTTGTGGGATAATTCAGTATTTATAGCTGTGGGATCAGCTTTTTGTCCCTTTCAGGAGAATTGGTGATTATGGTGATCTGCATGTTTTTTTTTTTTTTGGTGGGTGTATTGTTGTGATAAGGGGAAGATTTTTTCCGTCACTGTAATTGATGAGTGTTGTTAGCTGGTCTTTTGTTTGCAGTGATCACTGGTCCTTGTGGCTGGGTAGACTCTAAACTGCACCAGAGCACAGAGTTCAGACTCCTGTCCTCTGAAGATGCCAGCCACAGAGTGAAACGTTAGGAAGAAAAACCTCAAGAACATGGCCAGGCAGCCTAAAAAACCTACAACAACCATCAGATCCTGGCCGTGAAGGCCTTCAAGAATACAAAGAGATATTATTATTTTTAGTAATAATAAAAAATAATATGCATTTGTTCTAAAATGCTCCATCCTTGCTTCAATTCACATGCTTTTAAGGCTGAGTCTTAGAAGGAGGTCCACCAACTCCCTTATAAGGAAAGTTCATAGTGTTTGTAGGTGCTTATCTTAGAGGAAAAAGAAAAGTAAAAGGAGTCTTGATAACTGAATATAAAATTATGTATGGCACGAAGAAAGTACTAAGTGAGGTGTACTGGATATACAGGTAGATTAGGAGTCAGGACTCAAGAGACCTGTGTTCAGATGCCAGCTTAGCAGTGGAAACTCCAGGGGCAGGGATGTAACTGGGGAAAAGGTTCCCCTTGACATTTAGTCCAGTTGTGTCCGACTGTAAGTCGGTTCTTTCACAGAACACAGTGAAGTAGTAGGGCAAAAATGTTCTCCCTTTTCAATAATATTAGAAGTTAGGACCATCCACTGAATCTAAATGTTCAGAGATTTGGAACAGAGAAAAGAAAGTACTTCTTCATGCACATAGTTAAGCTTTGGAATCTGCTGTCACAAGGTGTACTTAAGGCCATCAGCATGAATAGCTTTAGAAACATTGATGAAGGGTTTTGCCGTTCTTATGTGCTGTCGAATTGGAACCGACCTATAAAGACCGTAAGAGGGCTTTCAAGGTAATTGATATATTCAAGAGGTGGTTTTACCAGTTCCATTCCCCCAATAAGTTTCCATAAGTACGGATGTAAACTCTGGTCTCTGGAGTCCTAATCTGCCGCTTTATCCACTACACCATTGGTCCCCAAACTTGGACCTCCAGATGTTCTTGGACTTCAACTCCCAGAAGCCTTCACCACCAACTCTGCTGGCCAGGATTTCTGGGAGTTGAAGTTCAAGAACATCTGGAGGCCCAAGGTTGGAGACCACTGTACTACACCACACTGGGTTCCTATGAAGGATCTAGCGGCATTCTTTGCTGGCATCAGTGGCAGGATCCCTGTGTATACCACTTGCTAGGCAAGACCAGTGAGAAGGTGTTCTTACATTCCTGTCCTGTTTGGGTGCTTTTCACTGCTATCTGCTTGGCTACTGGGGACTACAGAAAGCCTTTGGACTAATTTGTTAAAAAATCATTTCTATTTCATTACCTTACTTTAAGATTTTATGTTTTTCCTGTTTTCTGTTTTCAGTATCGCCTGGAAACTTTCACTGAAACTAGAGAGACATACTTAGCAAGTGAACTTTATAATGGTGAGTTACTGTATGTGTCAAAGAGAAGGGAGACAATAATATTTCAGAGAGATTGCCACCTTTCTGGTGATGCATAGAGTAGTGTCGTGATCAGAGTGTTGGATAAAAAATTGGAAAAGACCAGGTTTCAAACTCCTGTTTGTCATGAAACATGTTGGCTGACCTTGGCCTAAAGTCATTCTTTTTGCTAACCTCCCAAGGGGAGAAATGTTTTATGTATACTTCCCTAGGTATTTGAAAGAAAGGAAGGCTAAAAAGGCAATGAACCAAAGCTAGCATAATTGTTACAGATAATCCAATTGCGAAAGTAGGGTATTTCCACTCTAGGAGCAGCTGTGAACCCACAAACAGGTGCAGGTAGAAACAATACTTCCTTGTATACAATGCTATTTGTTTGCTTTGAGCACAGAATGAGAGATTTTAGGACATCCTTCCTTCCAGGAACACAAAAGATTGTTTATATCTTTAACTGGAGGAGAACATATTAATTCATATTAGAGATGACAGTTTTAAGAAAAATTGTACTGTCACACAATATTCAAAGGAAACTGAAGTGCACATTGTACATATTCTTGGAGGTGGTGCAGGATTCTTTGTGGGTGGGTTTTTTTTTTTTTGATGGAACGAACATATTTTGGAAACTGACCTGCCTACAGGTTTTTGCTCAGAATGGGAACAATAGGCAGTCTTTGTTCCTTTGCTAAGGACTAGGTCCAAGAAGAAAAAATTTGAATGATCAAAACCCCTGTAAACCCCTGCCTTCCTGCATGCCAATTCTGCCCTCCTACAACAAGAATGAAACTGTTCTGCCTTGCTGCTAACCTCCCAAGGCAGCTGATAGCAATGATGTTAAATCTTCAATATAACTGTTAAAAATAGCAGCCATGGTGTGAGCAGATGTAGGTGGGTGGAACAGTGACAGAAGGGATGGGATGGCAGCCAGGATATGTTGTGGGGACAAGGGAGGCTTTCCCCCAGCCCATTAAGGAGCATGTTTTGTTCTATTTTCCCTCACATGGCTCAAATGGTAAGGAAGCAGAAATACCTGAGGTAGTCTAGGACTTCTGTGAGCAACAGGCCTCTCCTCATGCTTCGCAGTGCAGCTCAGGATCATTAATATCTGCAGAACGAAACTTAGAGGTCTGAAAGCTAGTCAAACCTCTGAACCATGGATGGGAATAATGGTTTTCCACCATTCTGTGTCTAAGAGCATGTTCAGACATGCATTTGCCCCCATCTGATGTGTTGCCAGTGGATTGGTCCACTCTTTTTTCTATGACAATTTGCCCCCAGAACACGCCAACCTGTATCTTTTTAAGCTCCTGTTTTTACATGGACGCAGATATCCTGCTGGGGTGGACTCTTGCTTGGGTGCACACAATGCTTTTCCCTTTTAATTTGCTTTGTGCCCCCATCTCTTCTTTCTCTCTCTGTGTGTGGACAACACAACATGCAAATGGAAGAAATCCTTTTCTTTTGTGAGATGGGGGGGATGATGGGAGATTGCACACTCTCCTTCTCTGCATGTCCCGCTCCTTTCTCTCTGCCTCTTCCTCCCAGCCTCCCCAACCCCAGTGGGGAGCGCCCAAATGGGAGTGCAAAGGGCAGACAGGTGTCTGCCTGCTTTTGATCAGCTGTTTCCTCCTCCCCTTGCACCATCGCATGTAGTTTGCCTCTCCCTCTTCATGTCATTTGGACATAAGGATCATACTACATGGCATATTGCTCCTCCCTTAACTTCAGCCAACCCTATTTAAACTGCAACCTGGCCACGTCAAAAGGGCCAGTCAGGACATACCCAAAGTTCAGTTGTGTATAATAAAAACAAAATAAAAATCAAAGTCTTATATTAAAACTAACAGGCTTACTTGAGTGCATGCTTTTGTGGACATCATTTCTTAAGACACACGGAATACATATCTTAATCATCTTAGAACTGCGAGCTGAAAGGGACCCTATGGATTATCAAGTTCAGCTCTTATCGAGGAGGCCCAGTGGGGAATTGAACTCTCAACATCTGGATCTAAACCACTGAGCCATCTACTACTATCTTTTAGGTGATTTGCAAGAGAGCTAATATATATGTATCCCTGTACACAGCAAGACTCATTCAGGGGAGGAAATAATGGAAGATTTCACCTGTTTGGTGCTGGTGAAAGAGATTTAATCAGCACTTGTGGTTTGGTATAAACCGTTGTGGTGGTCGAAATGCCTTCAAAACTTCATCCTACTTTGAGAAGAAAAAAGCTGATGATCATAGGTCATTGGTGAATATGCAGATTGCTCCATTAGTCTTCCAACTAATTCTTTTTTGGGGTGCCGGGGTGCTTTGCTCTTCTAGGTGGATTCGTCGACTCTTCTGCCGTTGCTACACCACCAGCTCCCTGGGACATTGTGGTGGATCCACCTCCGCTCTTTACAGATTGTGAAATGCGTCTTCCAATACCCCACTCGTACTCATTAGAGGTAAAAGCCAAACACTGAACATTTGCTGCTCTGCTCTAAAGTTTAATTCATGTCTGGCCTGATGAGATCTGATTCCCTAAGCCATTGTGATCTGGTGGTGCAATTAGTGAGTATGAAAGTTAGGTTTTCTGCCTTTTAGAACATCTCTCGCAACCCAGTACAGCACTTTGATGGGGCAAGAATATTGGGAGGAGCAGCGCAACAAGAATGAAACAAAAAAAAATCTTCACATTAAGCAGACTGGGGGAAAAAAGAAAGAAATTGTGCTTTTTGCTCAGCTTAGGTACTTATTTTTGAAGCCAACACAATACTTTAAATTATCTGAAACGAACAAACAACCTTGAGCTGGATACCCACTGCTTCACCTTCTGGTTGCAGATCTTGGCAGAGGTGGCTGCATTTTCCTGTTTGAAATAGTGACGTAATATCTCAGTAGACAGATTTTAAAAAATAGTATGCAGTTTTGACAAGGAGATGTTTCCATCTGATTTATATTGCATTGCATGTGTGTTTTGCATGGGGAAATTGCCATTTTAAAAAAAGGGGATCTGCATCCACCCAGTAGAACAAAGCAAGACTATTTTTACGCAGGGTGTGTGCCTGTTTTCAAGCAGGCAGGAAAGCAGATTGAGGTGGTCTCACAGGCTAATGTAGTCTCCTAGATCCTAGTGGAAGCCAAACTGAAGTCCACATGAAATCAGTGACTCTTAAGCTCCCAACAAAGTAGTAATTATGCCTCAAGCAGTGCTCCAGCAGGTTTTTCTTGGAGTTTTAGTAACCTTCCTATGCTGCTTTTAAGCAATTGGGTTGGGAGGGATCTTTTTGTTCTGGAGTAACTGTCAGTCAATCAATCCAGCAGTAACCAATTATTTCTTTCCTGCCTTTAATTTTGAAGTGAGCCATACCTCCCTGCTTACGAGTATTTCCCCCTCTTTTTTAGTTAGTGTAATGTAGTGCACTCATGTAGTCAGTGTGGAGTTAGCAGTTTATGCAGTTTAGAATGTAGTCTGTAGAAATCTGCTGAAAACAGACTATGAATCAGTTAAGGCCTGTTCCTATAAGCAGTTTTTTAAATACAGTATACTGTTTTAATCTGTTCAGAACTGTGAGTAAATGGAACCTTTTATTCTTTCTCTTACCAATGTATCAGAAGGAGTTATTGAGACTGTAAATGCCAATTGATGAGAACCAATAAAGAGTAGCCTACGTACTCTGGGGAGACTGCTCTCTAAGTCTCTGCACTTTCTGCTGCATAGCTGGAGATTTTTAGCCAAAATTTCTGCCAAGTTTTTATATATTTTGGAAACTAAAAAAAACTTTGAAGATCTTGTTTGAATACAAACCTTGCACTATCATGGTAATTCCTCCCAATATAGCTTGTACTACTAATAACATTATTGTCACATTTCTGTGTTTTTCAAATGAGAAAAGTGGAAATAAACATCCTCATTAGTAATAGAAATATACAGTTTATAATAATCACCATCATCTTAGAATTGCTGTGTTTTCTCACCTTGAGAAATCTTCTCCTTGATTATAGTTACAAAAGACACACCCTGCTAAATCAGATGATTGCTTTAAGCAAGAACATCAGGTTGTATGTAGAATACTGGCAGGGAAGAAAAAATATTGCAAGTTAATTCAGATATACCATTTTCTATAGCTGGAAAAACATACTCACACAATGGAGAGAGGTGAAGAGTGGTGTGCTCCAGGGATCTGTCCTAGGACCGGTGCTTTTCAACCTGTTCATTAATGACCTGGAGATGGGGATAAGCAGTGAGGTGGCCAAGTTTGCAGATGACAGAAAAGTTTTCTGGGTGGTGAAGACCAGAAGGGATTGTGAAAAGCTCCAGAAGGCTCTCTCCAAATTGGGAGAATGGGCGGCAAAATGGCAAATGCGTTTCAATATAAGAAAATGTAAAGTAACTGGGGCAAAAAATCAAACCTTTAGTTATCAGCTGATGGGTTCTGACCTATCCATGACGGATCAGGAAAGAGATCATTAAAAAGGAGATTGGAAATAAAACAGCCAACATTATAATGCCATTGTACAAAACGCTGGTAAGGCCGCACCTGGAGTATTGCATTCAGTTCGGGTCGCCACACCTAAAAAAACACAAAACGCACACACACGCGCTGTGGAACTGGAAAAGGTGCATAAGAGAGCAACTAAAATGATGACTGGGCTGGGGTACCTCCCTTATAAGGTTGGGGAAAGGCACCTGAAGGTGGACATGATTGAGACATATAAAATTATAGGGGGTGGATAGAGGGAAGCTCTTTTCCCTCTCATTCAATACCTGAACCAAGGACATCCACTCAATTTGAGTGTTGGGAGAGTGAGAACAGACAAAAGAAAACATTTCTTTACCCAGCGTGTTGTTATCCTGTGGAACTCCTTGCCACAGGATGTGGTGAGGCATTTGGCCTAGATGCCTTTAAAAGGGGATTGGACAGATTTCTGGAGGAAAGGTCTATCGCAGGTTACAAGCCATGATGGGGATGTAGAATCTCCAGGCTTAGAAAAAAGGTACCTTCAAATGCCAGATGCAGGGGAGTGGTCTCAGGAGACAAATATCTAGTTGTCTCGTATGCTCCAGGAGTCATCTGGTGGGGCCACTGTGAGATACAGGAAGCTGGACTAGATGGGCCTTTGGCCTGATCCAGCAGGGTCCTCTTATATTCTTATGTATTTTAAAAAAAAAAACATTGTTAGTACAGTGCTACAGACCCATGGAAGTTGCAGGAAGAGACCAAGCATTGATTGGAATTTATTTTCTTGCTCTCATATTTTTCTTGTTCGAGAAAGAAATTTTTCATTTTAGTAGTCTAGGAAAAAATAAAGTATTGTGAGTATCAACATATACAGAACTACAGGCATGACAATAGACACCAGTGATCGTCCTTCAGAATATTGATGTTTGTAGTGGTTTGCTGTTTGAATCTAAGTAGTTCTCATTTTGTGATCAAACCTGTGCATATTTCTTTGCTTTCTTTTCAGAACTGTCCAAATTGCAAAGGACGTGGTGCCATTATGTGTCAGTCTTGTGAAGGAACCGGCAAGGTACCTCATGACAAAATCTGTGTTCTTCCTTTTGTTTCCTTTTTTTTTTTTTTTTGCATACTTCCATGTAGAAAGGAGACATAAAAAGTGATCATAAAAGAGAATGCATGACATGGAGCACCCACATACCCAGTGGGTAAGCAACAAACAGTTAGATTTGTACTGTTTTTAAAAATGGGGGGAAAAACCAAATGGGACCTGCAACCCAACCATCCAGGGTAGCTTGTTTCAGTTAGTCAGACATGCCCTTCTCTTGGATTTTCAGTCCATATCCTCTCCTGATGAACCTGTCTTAACAGTCCTTTGGGATCAGCCATTTTGGAACTGCCATGCTGTTGTTTAGTCATTAAGTCGTGTCCGACTCTTTGTGACCCCATGGACCAGAGCACGCCAGGCCCTCCTGTCTTCCACTGCCATAGAGGAACTGCCATAGAGGCAATTTGTTTGTTCTTTGAACAGAACATTCAAATGACATAACGCTTTGAAGCCTAGTTTATCATTAAAGAGCAGTCTAGAAAAAGGGTAGGGCATGTTTCTGTTTTCTGTTTTCAATATACTTGCAGTATATTGTCAAACACTCAGATGCACAAACATACACAAAACATTTATATGATATCCTTTGCCAAACCTTTATTTAGTTAAATAGAATGCTATCCTTCTGGCTTGGGAGAAGAACGAGGTGGCAAAAGGAGATCTGATCAGCCTAGGGCTGACAGAACTGTTTGTGACGTAGGTAACCTGCAAGACTGGTGCACAAGTCACATTTTGCTCACTTGACAGATGTGCTTTACATCTGCGTACAGTGGTGCCTCGTATTACGACGTTAATTCGTTCCGGCGAAATCGCTGCAGAATGAAAAGGTCGTAATGCGAAAATAAAAAGCCCATTGAAACGCATTGAAACCCCTTCAATGTGTTCCAGTGGGCTGAATCTCACCATCCAGCTAAGATCCTCCATAGGGTGCTCATTTTTGGTGCCTGTGCAGTGAGGAATCTATCCCAGAAAACAGCGGGGAGCCATTTTATTTACCCGGTGGCCATTTTGAAACCGTCGATCAGCTGTCCGAAAATCGTTGTTTTGTGAAGAATCGGTTCCCAAAGCAGGGAAACGATCATCGCAAAGTGAAAAGCCCCTATTCAGACCATTGTTTTGTGATCACAATTGCGATCGCAAAACGATCGTAATAATGTGGTTTCGTTGTAATGCGGAGCAGTCATAAAGCGGGCACAACTGTATTTGATGGACAAGATAAATGAATGAATGAATGAATGAATATTCTGTTCATGATTGTTAAAGTCACTATCATTATTACACATTCTGTTAAAGAATCACATAAAAATATACCGTCCGAAGTAGTCACAATGTGACTACTGTGAAGCTAGTAATAAAAGTAAAAGTAAAATATTGCAAAATTACTTAAAGCATAAAATTAATATATGAAACAAAGGGAAAAGAACATAAGATCATATAATCATAGAATAATTGAGTTTGAAGGGGCCTATGCCTATAAGGCTATCAAGTCCAACCCCCTGCTCAATGCAGAAACTCACATCAAAGCAGATTTGACAGATGGTCATCCAATTTTTTAAATGAAGTCCTCCAGCGTTGGAGTGCCTACCACCTCCTTAAGCAATTGGTTCCATTGTCATACCGCTCTAACAGCTAAGAAAATTTTTCTAAGTGAAAGCAAAAAGGATCTAGCCCGCCCTTCTCAACTCCTTTAAGAGCAAAACCCTGGTAACTGTGTTAGTTACAAATCCACAGTTTCATACTCCTCAAAGCTTATGCCAACATCTGGTGCCAGTTTCGTGCTGTTTGGGACCATACATATTGTATTGTCAGAAGATGAGAATGGTGATTAAAAGGCTGTGATTGGTCAGAGGATACAGGAGAAATTCACTTTCATCTTTGGTGCCAAGCCATAGAGGCTTGTGGTACATATCAGCATATAAGTAGTGAGAACAGCGAACCCTGTGGCATTGTGGTTAAACTGCAGTACTGAGTTGAATCCTGACTAACTCAGACAAACGACTCAAGGTTGACTCAGCCTTCCATCCTTCCAAGGTTGGTAAATTGAGTACTCAGCTCACTGCGGCCAAAGTATTACTGTACTTCCTTAACTATGTTATAAACTATGTTATAAACTGCCCAGAGGGTGCTCTGGCACTATGGGGCAGTATATTATTTAAAACAATAAAGCAACAATGATATTTGGAGATTTTACTGTGTTGGATAGTGAGTTGTATTAAGCATGAATTCACAGTACAGTCCATTGATCTATTTACAAATTCATCATTCAGATGGTCATATCTTACATTGTCAGGGCTATCTGTCTTCTGTACCAGCAGACACTTTCATAATGAGCTTGCTTCTATTCAAACTACTTTATCAAAAGAAATGTAAAAATCTTTTGCCCTGTGCCCACAGCAGTCTCATTTCTCTTTTCATGGAATGGCTAGATAAGCTGTAATTTTCTGGTGTGCCCAAATTAGACACATATACCCGATACATCTTTTTTAAAAAAATTCTTTTTAAATTTACAAAACAAAAACAAATACAAAAATACAAAATACTTACTAATACAATCTAAACCACCATGCACCCCTATACCCAGGGGACCCTTTGGAACAATACTTTTAACCCGAACCTCCTTTCCAAAATTGTATTGATGGTTGTTTAGAGGCTTTCCCCTTTCCCTTCACTAATACAAGTTCAACAAATCTACCCCAAGTAGCATAACAAATATTTGAACTTATTTCCCCTCTTTTCATCTTCAGTTCAATAGTCAATTTATCATTTAGTAGTGACTATGTCAGTAGTTAATTTATCATTATACTAATCTTCTAATTTAATATCATTTTTATCTTTCCAGAATCTATTAATATTCTAGCACTTGTCATAAAATTGGAAATCAATTCATTTGAACAATAATCAAGTTCTATCTTATCAAAAATTGACAACAAAGCAATTTTAGAATTGAATTTTATATCTTTTCCAACTATATCACATATTTCCTTAAAAATCAGTTTCCAATATTTCTGAATCCATTTACACTCCCACCATATATGATAATACATGCCAATTTCTTCATCACATTTCCAGCAGACTTTAGAATAGTCTGAATTTGTTATATTCAAATTCACCGGAGTCATATACTGCTTTAAACTAATTTTATTTTTTTCCTTTATTATTACTGACATTAACACTGACACAGGCGATAATTCTTAGAATTATTGGATATAATGTCGGTAAAAATACCCGACACTTCTAAGAATTATCTCCTGTGTCAGTGTTAGAGTGGTCGTAATTGTCTAGATAGGCGGGATATTAAATAAATAAATAAATAAATAAATAAATAAATAAATAAATAAATAAATAAATAAATAAATAAATAAATAAATAAATAAATAAAATTATGTCCTGATTAGAGATGAACATGAAACATGGTTTGGTGTTTCAGCCTGGTTCGGTATACCACCTCCACAGCTGTTCTATGGACACTGTGTTCTTACCTCCGATGCTTCCTCTGGGTGATAGCCCACTCATCAGCAGCAATGTGGGCTTTCCTACCACAAATCCTCATCTGAATGGGTGGCTGCCAGGGGAGGCAAAGGAGGGAAGTGCGTTGCTGCTGCTGCTGCTGAGTATGTAATAGCCTAGACGAGATGAGGGAGAGAAGCATGCTGCTACTGGCAAGTGGCCAATCACCAAGTGTAGCCCAGAGAGAAAAGAGTGTGACATCTGCAGAATACCTGTTTGAGTGCTGCACCAATCTGGACCATACCATCGAACTGCAGTTTCTGCTCATCTCTAGCCCTGATCCATAATATTACAGTATATTGGCACAGCTGTTGATAGAATTGACTATAAATACCTATATAGTAAAGTATCATCTTTACCTCCAATGGTAAACTCAAGCCATTGTTAAAGAAGGAAGTATGAGCATGTATGAGATGACCCAAAGGGTTTACAGAAAGACAACTCTTTTAAAAAATCTACACCACACCAGCAGAATGTGGACCAAACATGCTCTGTACCCATAGAAGACAGAGTAAGTGTTGGAGAAGAAAATGAAACATGAGGTGATGCTGGCAAGTAGAATGGCTTGATGTTTGGCTGGAATTTTGGAGAATGCATTTGTGAGTTGTATTGGTGAACACTGTCACAGGCTGTTTTACCCAACCGTCTGAATACAGAGCATAAGACTGGCAGTGTGTGTGTGTGTGTGTGTGTGTGTGTGTGTGTGTGAGAGAGAGAGAGAGAGAGAGAGAGAGAGAGAGAGAGAGAATATTTAGATTACATGTTCTTTCTTCAAATGCAGAAAAAATGTTCAGCCTGTGGTGGTACTGGGACCAACACACTAGAAGATTCCAATATTTGCTCTTGGTGTGCAGGTACAGGAAAAAATCGGTAAGTGAATAACTGCCAACCAAAACTTTATTCCTATTTCCAGGATGGACAGAGGTGTTTGTTTATTTCTTTGATAGGCCACATTTTTTCCCATGAGGGGACTCAAGGTGGCTCACAGTGTTAAATTAAATAAAAAAACCCCAATACACCATACATTAAAAACAATTACACATGATTTTCATTACAATATATTGAATGATTAAAACATTAAAACATTAAAAACTTTACAAGCAAACATAGTCAGCTGCAAACTATCAGTCAGGGACAGAGGTAGACATGTTTTAGTCTTATGAAGCTATCCCATGTTGCATCTCTACCAGGGTAGACCCATGTACAGTACAGTGCAGTAGTCACAATGTGAGGTAACTAAGACATAGATCACTGTTGCTAAGTCAGGTCAACTGAGCAAATGGTTGATGCACTACCTAAAGTTATAGAAAAGCATTGCTTGTCACTGCTTCTACCTGCAAATCCAAGGACAGTGCAGAGACAAAGACTTCTCCCAGACTATGAAACTTAGGTGTCAAGGACAGCACAACCTGTTATAAACCAGCTTGAATCCTCATTTCAGTATCTGATGTTCTAATGACTAGCCCCTCTTCTATCAAGTCAGTTTGTTCACTTTCATCCAGCTCAGGCAATGCCCAATAAAGCAAGGCCCCAAATACTTCCGTGATGTTGGGCACCAAGCAATAGAGCTATGTGTCATCAGCATGCTGGAGGCACCACAGTCCATGGCTCTGTACAGTGGTACCGCGACTTGCGAACGATTCGAGTTACGACGGCTCTGTTTGCAAAATTTTGCTTCGACTTGCAAATGGAGCCTCGACTTGCGAACCGAAAAGAAAGAAAGAAAGAAAGAAAGAAAGAAAGAAAGAAAGAAAGAAAGAAAGAAAGAAAAAACACATTTCCTGCCCTTTTTTTGACCTAAGTTTACCTAAGGTCAAAAGAAGAAAACATTTAAAAAATTCACCCCCTAGTGGTAGAGCACAGATTAACCAGCTTTGCATTAGTTCCTATGGAAACTAATGCTTCTACCTGCGAAAGGCACCTCAACATATGAACGGAAAACAGCAGATATGGAATAAATGGTTTTCAATGCATTACAATGGGAAAGTTTGACGACTTGCAAACTTTTTGACATACGAACTTAATTCCAATATGGATTAAGTTCGTAAGTCGAGGTACCACTGCATGACCTCTCCCATAGATGGGAAAGGATATAGGGGGAAAGATGCAGCCCTGAGGGAGTCCCACAGGTCAAAGACCAGGGTTTCAAGCATTGCTCCCCCAGGATGACCTTTCCTGACAGGAAGGATTGGGAATCACTGTAATAAACTGCCTCAAATAGCCAACCTGACAGGAATCCAACAGGACACCATACTCAAATGGTATCCAATGACACTGAAAGGTCTGGAAGAACTAATAAGGTTGTATGCCCCTTACCTTGTCCCCAGTGTAAGGTGACCAAAGCAGACTCAGTCATATATCTTGGCAGAGAAACTGGTTGAAATGGGTCCAGATAAATGGAAAATTCTCCCAGAATATCTGTTACTTTTATTCCTAATCTAGTCATAGTTTCCATGACAGAAAAGTAGTTCTTCCAACCTTTCTGGGTGTTTTGAAGAAGAGGAATTTGTTATCAGTTCTACCTGCTGAGGCATCTACATCATTCAGTAGGGAGTCATCAGCTTCCTATTGGTAATTTACACTTGCTGAAGTGAAACTGCATATGTCTGAGCACCAGCTTGCCACTCATTTAGGCAGTACTGGTTGCTTTCCTAGACATGCATCTAATCATGCAATCAGGTTCACATCCAGGAATGCCACCAGTCCCTCATTCTTGTTGAGCAGTTGGCTGCTATGACTTAAATCAGTGGTTCTTAATCTTTGGTTACTCAGGTGTTTTTGAACTGCAACTCCCAGAAACCCCAGCCAGCACAGCTGGTGGTGAAGGCTTCTGGGAGTTGCAGTCCAAAAACACCTGCGTAACCCAAGGTTAAGAACCACTGCCTTAAATGACTTCCCTTACCCAAGCACAAATCTACAAGTAGATGCTGACCTAGGCTTTGTATCGCTCTTTGTGTGCCTCTGCTTTGAGGGTAAACTATGTCAATGTCCCTCATTCACAGAAGGCACAGTAAGGCTACAAAGCTTTGTTAAAAATTTCAGTCCTTTCTTTAGATCCAGGGCATGATTAAAACCAGTGTTCTCATTTATTTATTGTTTCAATGAAATGCCTTCTTATACACTGAGTGGATGATTAGGCTGGCTAAACATGTGGATATTCATGTAAGATATTTCCTTCTACAGCTGCTTCAGTTGTCGGAGCAATGGATGGCTGAAGTGTTACCGTTGCAATGGGAGTGGTGCCTTGCTGTTCCATACAGAACTTGCCATCACTTGGTAAGCTGATAAAGTCAAAAAAGAAGGTCATGGATGTTTTCCACAGGTTGACATAAAGGGCAAAGAAGTGTGTGGATAACAGAGGATGCTATTTTTGGCCTTTCCATACAGAACTTGCCATCACTTGGTAAGCTGATAAAGTCAAAAAAGAAGGTCATGGATGTTTTCCACAGGTTGACATAAAGGGCAAAGAAGTGTGTGGATAACAGAGGATGCTATTTTTGGCCTTGTTATTTGTTTATTTGTTTATTTGTTTATTTGTTTGTTTGTTTGTTTGTTTGTTTTTTGTTTTTTGTTTGTTTGTTTGGCTTTCATACTGCCCATTTAGATGAATCTACTCTAGGCAGTTTACAGTCCCAAAAAAAGCAATAAAATTAAAAACATCAATAAAAAGACTAAAACAAGCAAACACAATCCAAGATGGAAAAACCAGGGGGAGCAATTAAGTAATGCCAGGAGGGAAGGCCTGCCTGAAAGAGCTGGGTCTTCAGTTTACTCTGATGACACACACTTTCTTCTTCTGCTGCTGCTGCTCCTACACATTTCCCTTGACATCTAAAGGAGGCAGCCTACTGGGTTTGGGAGCCCGGATCACCCAGGATTCCAGAGACTCCACATTTGGGCTTCCTTGTGAATGTTTAGATAGTGGAACTGGCCACAGGAGAAGGTGTGCGTTCTCAGAGACCATCCTGCAGGAGTGCTGTATATACATCTTCAGCTGCATGTGTAAAAACATCAGTGACTGCATGCAGTTTCTCTTTGAATATTCTCAGGAGGTATTTTACCATCACAGTGGTAGACATTCTTACTAATTTGTGCAATTTTTGCTGATATCTTCACACTCTGATAGGAATCCAAGCTTCAGAGGCTCCTTCCAAGATTTCAGCCTGCTTGAGTGTATTAATATTTGTGACACAACTGTTGAAGCCAATATATAACAACCGAGGTCAATAGAGACTCTCCTTGCTATCTCATGCTGGGATTCTGTGCTCTTATTTAAGAATAAATCCGTTAGAATCTTCATTTCTATCTTTTTCAACAGGAAGAACAATATTTTAGAACATGTGGTGGACAAGAATTCTGGTCTTCCAAATTACCTTTTACATGAAGCAACTGGGAAAGAAATAGTTTGTGATGAACATCTCTCGGTAACACACTTAGGACCAAATAGCTTGTACTTTTGTTTTGATGTGTGTGCATGTATGATTTAGGATTTTATATCCCATGAACTCTTGAACAAAGGGAAGGGATGGTTATTGTGTTTTTTCTGGGCTGTTTGGCCGTGTTCTTAAGGTTTTTCTTCCTAACGTTTCACCAATCTCTGTGGCCGGCATCTTCAGGGACAGGAGTCAGAACTTTGTCTGTGCTCTGTTGACTCCAGTTCTGACTCCTATCCTCTGAAGATGCCAGCCACAGAGACTGGTGAAACTTTAAGAAGAAAAACCTTAAGAACATGGCCAACAGCCCAGAAAACTCACAACAACCATTGGATCCCGGCCATGAAAGCCTTCAAGAATATAAAGAGAAGGGAACTTGTGGCCAGGAGATCTAAAACCTTGACTCCCTTGTGCAGGTCCCCATATGCAGAAGGCAAAGGGGTGAGCAAACTGGCTCCCTTACTGAGGTAATGGTTAGAAAAGGATCTAATCCCTATTCTAGCTAGGAAAATAGTAAATGTTAGCCATGTCCTATTGTTAAGTTAATGATCACACCCTCTGGTGTCCTCTATCCTGCAGGATAGTTGGTACTTTGTCTACCATCCCAAAGGTTCCCTGCCACAGCTGAAGAGGCCAAGCTATGCTGAAACTCCTTGCCCATGACACAATATGGCAGGAGAAGGTACACCTCCCAACATGAACTCTTCTATACAAATATTAATGGCACAGGAAGCTTGTCCTACCTTCTCTACAGTCACCTGAAACCAGTGATGCTATGTATTACTTCTTGATTAGCCTGGAGTATTTAGAAATATATTACCAACAGATCTCTATTGATTTCTGTATATGTGTTCCAGGTGTTTCCTATTGTTGACTTTCCAGAGCTGTCCATTGAAGACTATTCACTAGCATGTATCGAACAACACAAAATGCAGTTTGCCTCAGGAAATATACATCACATACTGATGCAGGTAGGTACAGAATGAAGTAGACGGAGGCTTAAAATAAGGATTGTGCTTTGTGTATTGTCTCTTTTATACAATTTTTTTAAAATGGAAATTTTGATAAGTGTGTTGTAGAGAACTCCAGCTTGTCAATCAGATTTCTGCATATATATTCTTGTCATATGCAGGATGTCTTACAATCTAGTTAGTTTTACTGCCCACATAATCTCTGTGTATCAGTGTCTGATGTGGGTACCGTCCACTTCTTCCACTGTACAGTCTGTATGGAGAAAGCAACCACAGATGAAAAGTTTGCACCTGCAGAAGAAGATTGGGTTTACAGGCAACATTTAGTTGGGAAATGGTCTATTTCCAGTCTGGTTCTGGCTACAGTTGTGTAACAACCACAATATTCCATCTGTGCCCTAATTTGGAAATTCAGAAAATATGGTTTGACTTGGATTGATTTTTCTGGCCACGATGAATACCATGCAGTGACTTGGATAGGTGGTAAAGCTGCCTTAGACTGCATGGATCCAAACATATTCTGAAATCCAAATATTCATGCTTTCTATTAAATATAATCAGAACTCAAGAGCTATAACAATTTTTTCCCTTTGTTAGATTAGACAAAATATAAGACATAATATAGGAAAGAGTTACAACTGCTACAGTACACATAAATAGATGCTTAGCTTTGTGCTAAGTACCTTTAAATTTTTAATATTTTTAAAAAAAGAAAGGGGGAGCTGCTGATAGCACATTTAATAATTTGGAGATTTCCAACAATAAGTGTTCACTTATTTTCCTAGCTTCATACTTGGCAAACTGTTTTAAAGATGTAGAATAGAGATTGCCCTAGTTAAGAAAATGGCAACATTTCAGGGAGAAAAAAGGTGGAATTTTGTATAGAAGGGTATATTATAATTTAAGGAGACAGAATGTTTAAAGGAATTTGAAGTAACTTCCATAAGACATATATGCTGAGAAATATCAAAGTACCCAACATTTTTCCTATGCAGGACCTAAGACTTTTAAGGGGAGAAATTAAAATGTTAGGCTTGTGAATTGTACATGCTTTTTGGGTTTGGCTTTTTAACTCTGTCTTTAGAAGGCAAAAGGGTAAGAGAAAAGAGTAGACTAGTGAGAATTACTAGGCAGATGTTATGAAACAAAGGGAAATAGTTGTTTAATCGAATATGTTTTTGAGATCGACTCCAATTATGCACGTCAGAAAGGTTATTACCTTAACAAACAATAACTCTAAATCTACAAGAGTACTCATTAGTACTTGAGCTATAGGCTGGCTGGAAATGTAATATCATTCTTCGTCATTATATGCCTTAATAACGGATCTTCTCAATAAATACAGATAATTGTTGTTGTTGTTGAAGGATGATCATTGTTGGGTATGGACAATAAACATGGGCAATTCCATAATTATTCTCCAGAAATGCTTTCTGGAGGATTTTGATTATTTTGCTATAGTAGCATTGTACAAATGACGTTCCACAAAGCTGAACTTAGTCCACCAGCCACCGATGACAACCCTCAAAGGGCTCAATAAATACTACTGGCTGGGTACTACAAAATCAGCAAGGGTGTAAATATTCATCAGGACACAATGAATGGCTTGGTGAGCTGCACTGAGCTTACATTGCTGGCTACATTCAAGGTGCTAAAAGCATCAGATAAATCATCTCTGGTCTAGCACAGATGATACCACGTATTTTCTTCTTTTACCTTACAAAGGTTATTGACCTTTATTTGAAGCACAGTGAGTAAGCATTTTCCTGTATTTATTTCAAAGTAAGTTACAAAAGAAAGTGTGACAAGTTACAGAAAGCTATATTATCCACATCTGAAAAAGATAATGTAAACTGGTGTGAACACATAAGCTAAGGCTACTGTTCTCATTTAAAGGCAGCATTGAAGATGAAGGGCTTTAAGTTCTATCTTATTACCTGTATTAAAGGGACAAAAACAACTGGAAAGGAATTCTGTATTTTGGGAGTCACTACTGAGAACGTCTTATCTCTTTTGCATGCCAACCAAATAAATCATAATAACAATGGCTGAAATCCTGCTGTTTAGTGTAGTACGTCACAACTAGAGTGGCCCACTGAATCAATGGGACTTAAAAAGGACTCACCAAATGCCCATGGAGCCAATGGTCCTACTCTAATTGTGATTTACTATGCTAAGCAACAGGATTTCAGCCGATATATAACCATCAAACTGTATGTTAGTCTTGAGGGTTTGTTTTGAAAGACAGGATATACAAACCCCTAAGAAGAAACAGAGTTGTGCGAAAGGTAAACAACATACATTGTATTCATGTGCCATCTAATTTTCTGGTTGGTGACGTCTCCAAAATGCAACTTGCCTTTATAGAATTATCAGCATAGATTTTCATTTGATCTATCTCAACATTGCTGAAAACTTAGAGTTCTTCCAAAATTGCCCTACAGTTTAGATTGCTTCCTCTGCCATCTCTTGAACAGCAGCTGATAATCCATTCATAAATCCATTCATAAAAACAGCAGCTGATAATCCATTCATAAATCCATTCATAAAAACAGCAGCTATTCAGTTATCAACCAGACATCGTGTACGTATTGGCAGGATCTGACCAAATGGCATTCCATAGGGAAGAAAGGACAAACCAATTACTCATTCTAAATCCTTTGTAATTAATATCGCCAAGCCAGTCTTCCCTCATGCTGCCCCCTGCAGCTGAGCAGGATTGCATTTCCTGAATTTGGACTGTGTCTACACTAGGATGCTCGAAAGGGAATTCAGAGTAACTCCCACATCCAATTTACAATATGTATCTTCTTGTTATATTTCAGAAACAAACAATCGAGTTGGTGCCGCTCACAAAGGCCGAATATGAATGGAAAGGGAAATTGCGTTCCTTCTATGTTTTTGGCAAAGAGAATAAGGTGTACACCAAGGATTACCCAGCAAAGTTCTGCTGCTCCATCATGTGATACAGGACAGTTTCTGCAACATTCAGCTGCCAGGCAACAGAACGACTTTAACTAGTTGTTCTTCGTGGGATTCCTCCATGGCTAAAGATGTTGTTCTCAGGGTGACATGATTTAGCAGACATGGCTAGTGATGGACATGGACTTTTTCAGGCATCTATTTGCTCTGATATGTCTTGAGATACTGTGCAGTACATGATTCCATGGAAGAGTCAATTGAAATATTTAGATGTTGTTTTCTTTGATTGTTTACGTATTTGCAGCCAATCCATGACTTCATCCAAAGCTCTGATAGGTCTTCTCTCTATTTTCTTCAGCCAGGGGAGCCTCATATGATTATAATAAAAAATGTTCCAGGACAGCTTCAGCTGTGGGTGAGGAGGCTTCTTTCCTCTAGGGCATAGAGGACCTTTGGGATGAGAGGGTTTAAGACGGCTCATCCTCCCTCCTGCAACGCTAGACATCAGCTGTTATTGGCAGCAATAAGACCAACTGTGGCTTGCTGTTCACAAAGCTTTTCTTGGGCAGAAGTGGGATTGCTAAAAGAGGCAGCTTCCTCTGGAGGCCAGCAGGTGGGGCACCCTTGCCTAATCCTAACCTGCTTCAGTAAACTGGATCTAGAAGCTGGTCGCTCTGTCTGCCACCAGCTCTTGTGACCAGTTGCCCAAGTAACATGAAAAATGAAGACCTGAAAGATAAACAAGTTGTGTCCGGCACAAGCTTTTTGTGGAAGATGGCACATTTCTTGAGATGAAAGAAAAAGGGCCTGACAATTGCCTTCAAACAAAATTAATAAGACAGTTTGCGTCTGTTACATAACTCAGCCAAACTTTTTTTTCCTATTAAAAAAAAATCTGTATCACTTAATGAAATAATTTAGTCTTCTGGATGAGTTTCTACAAAGTTAAACTGTTTTGGGGAATACACAGCTTGTGGTGAGATATGTCCCACCTTGTGGAAGGTTTAGCACTTTGTGTTTGTTTTTTTCTTCTTCAGTAAAAACATCATGTAGAATTCGTTGTTTAGTCGTTTAGTCATGTCCGACTCTCAGTGACTCCATGGACCAATAGATTCATATAATCACATGGAGGCACATTTCTCGGAATACTGTGCAGTAAGAAAATAAGAGGGAGAAATCTCCAAATAATTGGTTTTTGTACCCCATCTTAATGTGTGATGGATGGCTAGAATTTAGCTAAAGTCCCACTCAGTTATGAAGCACACTGGGTGGCTTTAGGTCTCTCAGTCTACCCTACCTCCTAAAGCTATTGTGAGAATGAAGGGAACAGTACCAAATGTACCAAAGTAAACTCCTTAAAGAAAAGCAAGCCCCAAAATTACATTACAATTGAATGATGAATGGATGATTCATGTTGCCTGATCCTGTGCTTCAAAACCAGTAGACAACAAGCAGAACTGTGTCAGGACAGTTAATGAGTGTCAGTTGGTGGCAACATGGACCAGTGCAGAAGATCTTAGCTGAGGAGTAGGTTGTTATATATTTAAAAAGAAATTCTGTTCTCCATGAACTGAAAGCTGGTATATATATATATCTTGTACTCTGACCCTCATCTTAATGGTTTTACCATTACTAGCTGAATTTGTCAACCATTTATGTCTAGGCCTTGTTCCAGTACAGCTAAAAGCATTATACTGTGCCAAAATTTGTCACATGAAGATTTCCTCACCATGATATGAAACTAAATGATGGGAAAAGGATAGTAGTCTGCAGCCTGAAGTTTTCAAGGCAGTAGGATAGATGGAGTATCCACCTCTGAGCGAAGAGAAGAGATCTGCCCTCAGAGGGGAAGGTCTAGCTTTATACTCTTTAGTACTCTAGTCTAATGGCATTGGTAGAATCGGTGTTAGAGAGACACCACTGAGGATGTTGCCTTTCTGACACAGGTTCTCCAGTGCCATTGGGATGAAAAAGGGGATGTATTGGGAAATATGTCATGGGAAGATTGGGGAAAACATTTAGACTGAGGTTGGCAAATGATGACTTCCCATAGCCTTTGGATTGCAACTCTCACGACCCCCACTGTTGGCTATGTTCTCCCATGCTGATGGTAGTTACAGCTGAATGACAGATGGAGGGCTACAAGCCACTTTCCCCTTTTACTCAGGATCTTCCTTGTCCCTAGACACTTTCGTGTCCCTTGAGCAGGCATTCCACAGCCTTTGAATCTTCCCACCTGCAGGAGGATTGCATGGCCCATATCACCTAAAACAAGGCTATCTCTAGAATGACATATTTATTCCCTATGAAATTACTGGAGAACTCTCTGCTCTCCTTATTCCATGCATCTTGCTTGTGCCAGAAGGGTTCTACAGAAGGGTTTCATATGTATCCCAATTCATAGTTTTTCCAGGGAGAAGCATCAAGCCCTAAAGAGGCTGTGGCCAAGTGGAGACTACTTTATTTCAGCGTGCTATAACACCTTTTCTATAATGGTCAAACTGCTGCTATTTTAAGAATTTTACTGAGTGTTTTATTGGTTGTTTTGCAACTTTTATGTTGAAATTGTGAGCTGCTTTACACTGAGTTTCTGTAGAATGGAGATATATAAATTATTGTCAAAAATAAAAGTGCCTTACTTGCTTAATTTCTGTACTGGGACATTACTAATAGCCTAAGAGTCAATGTAGAGTAGTGGTCCAGATCCTACAGCCAGGGCCAGTGCTGGGCTTTTTTTGCACCCTAGGCAAGACTAACTACTTGTGCCTCCCCAACAAATTTTCAAAAAGAGGAAAATTGTAGAAAAAACACAAAATTACAAAAGTTGAAACTGTGAAAATTTTATTTTTAAAAATTGAGAGAACAAGTACCGTATATTCCAGCGTATAAGATGACTTTTTTGTCCTGAAAAACATGCCTCCAAGTGGGGAGATTCATCTTATACACCGGATGCACTTCATTTGGGCCAGGAGGGCGGCGGACAGACTTTCTTGAAGGAGCTGCCGCTGCCATTGAGTGAGTGATGCGGGGCCGCGCCGGCCGGGGAAGAAGGCAGGCAGGCAGGCAGGCAGACAGTCAGTCCGGATGGAGGGAGGGAAGCAGAGCCAGCCATGCCTGAGTGGCTAGAGCCCACCGCTGGGCTGCCCACCACCCCACGCCGCTGAACCAGC